TCCCATGTTAGCCCAAGGTTGTAGGCAGTGGAAGTAGTCTCCTCCTTCCTAAACATATTTCCAGCTTTGGGGGCCTGAGATCTCGTGGGGTTTCATTGGTCAGACGGGAGTCAAATGATAAGGTTATAACCTTATCGTTGCTACTATTATATAGTTTATTCTTGAGTATGTCCGTGGCTGTCCTTGAAACCTGAACAAAATTGGGATTCCCTGCATTCCCCTTGCAGATCACCTCTCTTCTCAGCAGTTCCCACTGGACCTTGAGACAAAGAAGGCTGCTCCACTCTCTGCTGACAGCAGCCAACTGAAGAAAGTTGGAAAAAGAGCAGAGGTTTAACCTTTCATACTCCACAGCCAAGCAATGTGTTTCAAAGCCAGCAAAAGCAAGGATTAAGAAACCACTCTACACCCATCATGATTCTCAGATGGCCCCGTTTGATTGCCCGGGTTGAAATTTAATTGAAGGACCCAAGTTCATAATTGTATGCAAATCCTCAGGCAGATATCTGGTTATATTCAACTTTCTGTCTCAGAAACAAGTTCCGGGTTCAGTTCTTGATTTGTACCCAAGATAAGAGCCAGGCAGTCCCAACCCTTGGTTAAGTAGCCTAGTAGGCGGGGCCCCGGGTTGGGCGGGGCCCCGGCTGGGCGGGGCGGGGCTGGGCGGCCCCACCTGAAGATTGCTGCGGCCGAAGGCGGGGCCTTGCGTGGGGCCTGGGGAGGCCCACCCAAGGCAGGTGGCGCTCCTCAGCTTGGGACTGGGCGGCCTGGCCCATACCTGGGATGGGTGTGGCCTCGAACTGAGACGGACAGGAGGGCCGACCAGTGGCGGGCTGCAGGCCGGGCGGGGGTGCGGGCGGCGGGCGAGGCCGCCCTAGGCAGGCTGCCTGGTGGGCGGAGCTGTTCCACCTGAGGCGGTAGGAGAGGCCCTGGGTGGGCGGGTCGGAAGCAGGCTGGGCCAAGTGGGCAAGGGGGGCGGTCGTGAGAATCCCTCTCTCAGCCAGGCTTCTTGCTGCCCACTTGCTACCTTGGAATCCCACCCGTAGGCGTCTATAGCTCAGAATGGGTTGTTGGGCTTCTGCAGCCCACGAACCCGTGCAGCCCGCACGGCGGTGGCCCTGGAGCCCTCCCCTCCTATCCTTCTTTTGAGGACCCCAAAGTGTGGACTCTCAGGGGTGAAGTAAAGAAAGGGAGGAAGCGGCCACTTGGAGTTCTGGAAGCTCCTGACAGATCAAAACATTTATAAGTCCCAATATCAGATAACAGAAACGACAGTGTATTTGTCCAGTTTACATCCAGAATGGCCTTTACCCAACGCTACTGCAAAGAAGGATTTGTAAAACCGAGTTGTACTGAGGCGTGGCAGAGGTCTTTCAGACTTACATCACTCCCGGAGAGTCTGACTCCTGAAACTGGCTGCGCTGTCTCCACCCTAGCTCCAACCTTGCCCAAGGCAAGGTGCCGGCCCTCTCTGGGCCTCTCCCAGGCTGGGGTGACCTGACTGGGAGACTCCAGAACAGCCTTCTCCCAGCAGGAAGCACCCTTTAGTCACCTGAGATGAAAGGGCTGGTGGTCTTTGCTATCTGAGTACTATTAACTGGGGACAGTGCATCTTGTATGAGCTGCTAGGATGTGAGGCTTCCAAACTGGGCTAAAGTCCACTGAGATATGTACACAAAGATCAGACTCTTTGTGTACAGTTGAGCACCAACAATGTGGGGGCCACTGGACTTAGTGACACAACTTGGACTCTGAGCCAACCCTATCAACTTTTGCAAGCCATAAAAACTCACTGCGCCTGTGTAGCACTGATGGAACATACAACTTTCCTCTAGTTCTTTATTGCTTCCTCCCCCCCACTATCATGATCCCAATTCTACCTTAAAAATCCAGCTAGACCAGAGGATGTACACTGGTACAGATAGGAACTGGAATCACAGGGGATCCAGGACAGATGAACCCCTCAGGACCAGTGGTGAGAATGGCGATACCGGGAGGGTGGAGGGAAAGTGGGGTAGAAAGGGGGAACTGATTACAAGGATCTACATATCACCCCCTCCCTGGGGGATGGACAACAGAAAAGTGGGTGAAGGGAGATGTCAGACAGTGTAAGACATGAAAAAATAATAATTTATAAATTATCAAGGGTTTGTGAGGTAGGAGGGTTGGGGAGGGAGGGGGAAAATGAGGAGCTGATACCAAGGGCTCAAGCAGAA